CCAGCACCCAGCAGTGCTATCAAATGAATGATTCGGATGCGCGTGGCCGTGACGTCACCACTGTCGGTAGGTCTCGGTTTAAGGGCGTCAGAACCGGGCTGCTCGGTACCATTTTTGATGGTCTGGAACCTTGACTCTTCCCCCATCCACTCTAACAGCACTCCTTCCGTAGAATCACAGCAAGTTGTCGGATGTAAGCGCAGACTGGGATGGAGCGATTCGACCAGCAAGTCAGCGAGAGGAAACTTCTGAGCTCCCTAACAAGTTGTGAAGGAGATTCTGGCAAGCAGAGTCTGTCGAGACCAGGCCGGAGGTGATTTGCAGAAATCGTATCAACTCACCGTGCGAGATGAACGCTGATGTTCCTGCTCTCCGGATGGGGTTCCAGTTGCTCACATGCCGACCGGAGATCGATGTTGCTGTAGACTCTGCCATGAAGTCGAGCCTGGTACTCTTCGATTGTCGAAAGAGGATATATCTCAGCCACAATATGTGAGTTGGGCCACCTGATGTCAACGCTGCCCGTTGAATTTGCGAGAGAAGACCTGCGGGTTCACCCATGAGGACGCTTCAATCTTCTCCACGATGTCTTCCGCTCCTCCTGCACCTCATCTCGAACAGAGAGCAAAAGACGGCGCAGCTTGTAGTCCGTGGGCTTAGGGACGAGGATGGGACATTTGGGACGAGGATGCTGTAATGCTGGTAGCCATTGATGGTCGGGAGAATCGCATCCCCCTCCTCTTGTATGGTGAAGACCTCACCTGATGTTGGGAAATGGTGACACCCAGCTTTGCATCAGACCCAGGCCTGTGATGGCTTCCGCAGCGGCCATGTATCCACCAGGAAGAGGCTGGCATCCACCGACTGGTACCGGGCTGTGGCACGCAGACGTCGCAGAGTATTTACCTGTCACGCTGAAATGCATTCTCCCGAACCTGAGGAGGTTGGATGTGGATGGCTCGTAAGTGCATCCCTAGAGACGGCAGACGTACTCTGCACTAAAGTCTCAAGGTCGAGCAGGTTTCACCAGCATCCACCGTAAGTGTCATCGCTTGCCTACGCCTCTCTGCCTCCAGGATGACAGGGCCGGTCACCTTACTTACTGCAGGTGTTTACCTTGCACTGCAACACATGAAACGCCATGGTGGCCTTCTTCACTCGTGTTAACTTCCTCTTTCCGACTGCAGCATAGTGACTTCCTTCCACAGACGCGTCAGGTCACTCGTCTGGCAGGACACTGAGGGGCCCTGGCTGTTGGCATGGTCAGCGAGCCCCTAGCTCCCGCATGGCCTTCTACAGATGCTGGGTGTTCTGTCAACCGCGGCTGTCGGCTGATATTAGCCACTGCGTTGTGTTCATGACGAGCCATCAGACGACTGGAGGATTGAACGCTCGTAGGCTTCACACAAATCGAGCACCTTCTCCAGGGTGAGGGCACCGTCTTGCAGGAACTTCGCTAGATGATGATGCAGGATCTGTTCCACCACGAGGTATCTGATCGTCTTATCTTCAATCGTCCTGAAGTTGTTGCTCTTGTTCTCCGCGGGTCGGCTCATGGCCGGCCGTAGCCCAACGGCTCTCGGTGACTGAGGTAGCCGCGGCTGAAGGCCGCCACGACACCGCCGTCCCAAAGCTGCGTAGGGTCCGATCATATGTTTCCGAGTAGTTGGAGCCTCGCTCCGGCCAAGCATGGGCACCCGAGCAACACGCGCTCCGGTGTGTCCGGACCCTCGCGGCACACCAGGCAGCGCGCCACTGCACTGGGCAGGCCAGGTCGCTGCACTGTGGACACTCGCGCTCGGGGTGGCGTCCGATCCTGCGCAGATAACTCTACGAGTGGCTCCAGTGTCCCGCCCGCAGCTGGTGGACGTTAACCGCCTCGTCCCGAGACACCAGAAGCACCGGCATCGGCATCCGGTCTCCCATAATGTTTTTGAAGATGCTGTCTGTCCAGCTGCGATGCCATGCCTTGGTGGCGGAGCGGCCAAGGCTGACAGCCTTCACGAAATTAATTCGTATATGATTGTCCAATTCAATTGTCCAATTCAAACAATCAGCCTTTACGAAGCAGCGGACGTCCATCGGGACGGCGGCTTGCGACATGCTGGAGGCCACTTTAGCCAGCACGTCCACCCTTTCGTTGCCGGGTATTCCGCAGTGTGCCGGGATCCACTGTATGAGGACTCGGAGTCAGGAGCAGTCGCCATACGGCGGCACCGAGTGCCGTCGGTCGTCTGACTCCCAGCACCACTCGCCAGCGTGGCGAGCGCCGCCTGCGAGTCTGAGCAGACGATGACTGGGCTCTCCGCCGGGCCGCCTTCCAGCTGTAGCAGCATCTCCAGAGCCCCGCGGATCGTCACCAGCTTAGCGCGGGTACTGCTGCATATCTTGACTGCGGGGGCTCGGAGCTCGTGTTCCTCGCCCGAGGGGAGGATTATCAACGCTTCACTCCCTCTGGCTGAGACACCTCCCTCCGCCGAGCCGTCGCTCCATACCTACACGGCGTCGTCTGGAAGGGTGGCCAGATGTTCCTCCGTTTCCGAGCGCCGGACGTCGGCTGGTGCTGTGCGGCTGATGTGGCTGCCGATGTCTAATTTATCGTCCTGAAGTAACATATATTGGCTAGTGCTCGCAAAGCGGACACATATTCTGTAGTAGTCTCACCAGGCTGTTGGCCTCTCCGACGGAAGATGAGATGCTCTACCGCAACACTGTTTGGACGCTCTAGGTAGGCCCGTTTACCCGGTTGATGCCCGCTAAGCAGTGCTGAACTAAACAACCATGTCTGCTATTTATCACTAAATCACCCGGAGCAGACGAAAGTATATCATGCGGGTATAACAGATGTAAAGTCGGTATCACACCGGGCGTCAGTGTTTCCGAATAAGTATGTAATTAGAAAGTTAACTCTTTGAAACAAAGGTGATGGCCTGAGGTTAAATATTTTGTGCTGTGAGAAAATCATTTAAAGCAACCAGTAATTGGTTGTGTTTTACCTTTTTGTCTATCAGGAAGTTCGTCAACGGTGTCACAATAGAATAATTTTCACCTTTGACAACGTGTATAACTGTAGGGCGGCCCATTACCTGACTAGAAAGGTTGTGAATGCACCCTTGTCCTTCCATCGATGTATTGTGATTGGAAGAGCGTCACGGCGCTGGTAAAAAACTTGCCTCAGGCTAGTCAAGGCGTATAACAGGGTTAACATTTCTTTATTTTTTCAGAGCGATATGTAAAGTGGTCTGTGCCCGAAGTGCAGAGACTGCGGGCGATACTGAAAGCCCGCGGTGGGCGGGTACCCAGTATGGATGACCTCAGAGACCTGTACAAGAGGGAGCCGTTCAACGGCCATAATCTGAATGACATAAGATGCAAGATGTACAAACTTAAACAGAAGGCAGTAAGTATTGACAATGTATTGATGCACTTCTTTGTACTTGGCGCGTATGTTTGTTGCGATGCGCTATATTCGGTTGCTTATTTTAGGCGTGCAAGGGATGATTCCTCCTTGATACTAACTGAGTCAATCGTCAGTTAGTTCTTCAATGTTCATTGTCATAACTATGTAAGTGTGGATAAGGTGACCTATTTTTGAGTTCATAGAACTGGAGCCAGCAGAGCTCCAACCGCATTTTTTTACTTCAATAAGCCAAATTCCAGCGGTATTAACCCTCGCCGGACCTATTGGTTTTCTACATACGCGCCGGCCGAGGGGGGTACGACCCCCTCGCCGTTTCGCCCCTGGTGGAGCTAGCGCGTCGCTGAAAAAACGCTTTTGAAAACCGTAATAGGCTCAATATTGTATTTCCTTCACATAGCTCCATGACTCCGTCCGATTTCACGGCGTAACTAACATCAGTTCGGTGGTCCCTGCCCTCAGGAGTGAGCTGCTGGAGCGGCCGGGCCGGGCTGTTCTGGGTTGGGTCCGGACGGGACTTGGGGACCGGCGCCGCCCGCGGCGTCAAATACATGTGTCTGCCCGCGCCCCGATGCCGCCCGCGGCGACAATACATGTGTCTGCCCGCGCCCCGATGCCGCCCGCGGCGACAATACATGTGCCTGCCCGCGCCCCGATGCCGCCCGCGACGTCAGCAGTGCTCTCTGTGGCAGCCAGTGAACAGCCGCCACATGGCCTATGTCAGGATCGCTCGAGGCGCTGCAGTAGGTCCTGCTGGCCGTGTCCGGTGTTTGGTTGTCAAGCTCTGAAGCACCGTTTTTGTTGAGTTTGGTTATCAAGCTCAGAAGTCAGAGGCACCGTTTTTGCTGCGTGATACCGATGGCACGGACGCATGTACCATGTTCGGTTGTGTCTCGTGTGCCTGGTGTAAGTCTAGTGATTGTGTTGATCCGATCGAGTCTGTGCTAGGGTCCAGTGGCAGCGCCCGATGCCGTCGGTCCATGTGTGGTCGGCAAAGGGTGGCCAGCGGCCTAGCGTACGTCGGAGTCGTGAGCGTCAAGATGGCGTGTGAAGTGTGTATGGGTTGTTGTGTATCTCGATAACGTGTTTCCTCATAATGGTTTCGATGCTGTAAGTTCTCGTAAGTCCGTTGTCATCAGTTGTTCTCTGGTGTCCGTCCTTCCCTGTTCGGCACTGGCAGCGGTGCCCGGTGATAGGGCTGAATCGGGCCGGGGGCTGGGCTGTGCTGGGTTGGGTCCGGATGGGACTCGCGGCCCGGAGCCGCCCGCGGCGTCAGTAAGTACATACATTGAGTTTTACATTGAGACAGAAGCACCGTTTTTGTTGAGTGACACCGATGGCACGGACTTGAGTACCATGATCCGTTGTGTGTTGTGTGCCTGGTGTAAGATTGTGTTGATCCGATCGAGTCTGTGCTAGGGTCCAGTGGCAGCGCCCGATGCCGTCGGTCCATGTGTGGTCGGCAAAGGGTGGCCAGTCCGGCAGCTGCATTTTTGTGTCCTTATTGAAATACACTGTCAGTCGTCAGAAAATGAACCTTTTTGCACCGTAGCGGCATGCTGCCGTTGGCGTGACGCTGCACATGTCCACACGGAGCCCGTCGGTGGGCGAGCTGCAGGCGGGGCTGGCGCTGACGGGCGGCGCCAGCCCGCGGCTCGACGGCGCGCTGGCCGACCGGCTCGGCTCCTGCCGGACGCCGCTGGTGGCCTCTCAACTGCTCTGCGCCGTTGCATACCCGTTATTGTCCATTATGTTTTACCGTTCGTGTCTGATTCTGGTCTCCATGGTTGATCCTATGTCGTTCGTGCCAGGTTATGGTAACGTTCTTTCCTGATGTACATACCATCGCGCCATATTCTGGAACCGTTCGTGCCTGGTGACGGTACGCTCTCCAGTCCAAAATGGTGCCGTTTGTACCAGGTTCTGGTGCCGGGTCTCATAACTGTTCGTGTTAGATTACGGTAGTTACTAGTTATGCTTGACTGTTCTGTAGTTCGAGCCTGAATTGCCTCACCATTTGTACCAGCTTATGGTGCTGAGCCTGACGCTGATGCCGTTCGTTCCAGCATTGGATCCCGTTCGTGATATACAGTTGCGCCAAATTCTGGTCCTGCTCGTGCCCGATTTTGGCCACATCCGTGCCAACGATTATCTCAGTTGGACTTTATCGTCATATTGCCTTCATTATTGACCGCAGAAATGGTCCATTGAACTTCGGCACCTTACAAACATTTTATTTGTATGTGCTTGGATTTAATTTATGTGATTTGATTGATTTTATTTATCTTGGATTGAAGCACGCTTTACTCCACTTCGAATGGCGTATCGCCTCTCTCGTTACACATGGGCTCGCGTCGTTTTTTTTCAGCGTGACATTGACCTTGACCTTTGATTTTGAGCACATTTTCGAAATCCTCAGGTTCTCTTCTTTCGTTTGACACCCAATTTTTCCGGTTTGATGCTGCCTGCGGCCTGCCGTCCTCTAGAAGGCTTACTTTGAGATCACTACACATGTGCCGGTTTTTGCCTTTGACCTTGACCTCTGACCTTGAAAATTGACCTGAGGTCAAAATTTTAGGTGCTTTAGAATCGTCTCGTAAGGACCTTTCGTTTGGTATCGCTTCTGTTACCGTAGCTCCCTTATTTACGGAGTTAGACAGGGGGGGGGGCGAAAAACGCCCCCCGGGCTGCGGTGGTTGGGATTACCCCCCGGGCCCGGCCGGGTTAAGGTGTAGACCTCGAGTCAAGGTCAGGTCATGGAGCCCCTCAGGCCTCAAGTCACGAAGTTGATCAAAGGATATCATATTGCATAGCATTCGATTCTGCAGGTCTTCCCGAGTCCAATGGTGTCTTTCCCGACTCTCTACTTAAATTTGATCGGGAGTTATTGACGAAAAACTCTTATGACCCTAGTGACGTCGTAAATGACGTCACGCAAGGTCAACAATGCAATAGTGAAGCATCGGACCTTGCAAGGAGTGCATGAAATCACGATTCCATGCAGGGACGTACCCAACGGGGGGCGTCCGCCCCCCCCCCTTGGGTTTTTTAGGAGGCCCCAGATGGAATCAGGGCCCCGTGGGCCGAAGGTCCACGTTGGTTAAAATCACGTCGGAGGCGAACGAAATTCACGGGAATCCCCCCCCCCCCAAAAAAAAACACGTCAGGACAATCAGGGCCCTCTGACCAGCCTGACAAGTGACAGCTAGGGTCCTTCTTACTTCCTGGGGCCTCCTGTGAATAACCGTTAGTGTCTGTGTCTGACCGCTAGGGCCCCTCTGACTCCTCAGTAGAGAGGAGGCCTCTGAAGGTAGGAGGCCCTCTGTAAAGAGGAGACCCTCTGTAGAAAGGAGGCCCCCTGTAGAGAGGAGGCCCCTTTAGAGAGGAGACCCTCTGTAGAAAGGAGCCCACCCGGGATTCCTCCGCCCCCATCCCTTGGCAAAATTCTAGGTATGCGCCTGATTCCATGTGCTTGGGATAGTTTTAGATCATTCCCGGCGCCAAAATAGCAGTTTTCATATTTACCCATTGACTTAATAATGGTGAGGTCACGTAACCGACCTAACCACGTGTGACCTTTAGGAAAAGATCAGAGATATATACAAGTTGTGAGACCTCTGAAGGTCTCACAGATAAAACTTACATCTTCGTAAGTTTCATCTCCCTGTGAAAGTTCCTCTAGCACTGAGGGCGTTGCGAAGTTGCGACATCTGAGGACCGTGCATAGGTTCACTTATGTTATAGGTCACGTCACTGACCTGACCTGAGCTGAAAATACGGCTGATCTCACAAGATCCGGCTTGAGTCAAAGGTCAGGTATGCCAAGTTTCAGCTCTCCATCGCGGGCGTGTTCCGAGCTATTGCCAAAAAAAAAGTATGGGGGCGGCACCCGCCCCCCCCCCCCTTGGCCGGCGAGTGCTCGACTTCGACTATTAATTGATGGGAACATATGCCACAATATGCGAATAAACGTAAGATAAGCACCGAATCTGTCCATCGTGCACCTGATAGGTACACCTCAAGAATTATTGCATGTCCGTCCCTCCAGCATCTCAACCTCCGTGCCTCACCGGCGAGCGACGCAGCGATTCAATCCATGAAGGAACATATCCGAATTTTTTCTTCCTAGATAGGCAAAACCTTTCATTAAAAGATGCACAAGTTTATTGCAACATCCTAGATGATGCAATAAATCGAGGCAAAAATGTTGCGATAAACATGTTGCGATAAATTGAAATTTGTTCATCTTGTGTTACGATAAACGCGAGAAACTAGTATGTATGTATTTGAAAAGGCTCTCGCATGCGATTTCCTGACTGCGGAAAGAGTCTGTTTCAGGCATAAGGCTCAGTTACCGTTTTCACGTAAGGGTAAAGTTAACATCAATTGCCTGAGGTTTTCAAGACTTCCAAGCTCACGACGAAGTACTCTATATAGTGAACAACATAATTTTGATATATTTAATGATATAACCTTTTGTCCAAAGTTCTAAAAATTACCCCAAAAGTTAAAAAATACTTGAATATGTTTCAGACACGTCCCTTCATGATGAAGGAATGATAAGGGTGAAGGAACGGCTCCGAACTGTGCTCAAGTATTTTTTGTAACTTTTGGTAATTTTCGACGTTTAAACACGTTATACCATTAAATATAGACTCCCAAGCTATTGTTATATTGAATTCTATTGTATAAACTGAGACATAGAAGTGCTCGTTACCTATCTAGTTGAACCATACAAAATTTGCTTTGAGCTTAAAATAAAATAGGGATTCATTATAACTACAACTTGTCACACAAATTCCATACTCTATATATGTCATGAAACCAAAAGAGACGATAACTGCTTCCTTGCCTTGGTGACTATCATCTGAATCACACCATGGGAATTGTTTTCCCGAGGTCATTCCCCACTCGGCACGCACACAGCACAAGGTTAATTGCCATGTTCAGTGGACTGCACCTGTCGAGCCCATTCTCTTCCTGTCGACCCCAACGGTCTTCAGCCTCGCAGAGCACTGGCCTTGGCACAGGTGCTGGGGCCTGACGACCGTGGCTGGGGCGTGGTGAGAACGGGGTCCTGCAGCCGCACTCATTCCTCCCAGTCATGACAGACCCCACCCTGAAACCACACTGCGCACGCTATGTGACTGACCCAGATGTCTCTGACTGCTCTGTCACGACAGGTACTCGTACGACTTTGCCGTGGAGGATCACTACGGCGGTCAGTTCAGCAAGTCGGAGCACAGCGACGGCCACAACGTGCAGGGACAGTACGGCGTGGAGACCAAGGAGGGAAGCACTCACGTCACCTACTACGGCGGACACGGCTCCGGATACAAGGGCACGCCTTCTTACCACGAGCCCGCCTACAAGCCAACGCCGTCTTACCATAAGCCCGCTTACAAGCCGACTCCGTCTTATCACGAGCCTGCCTACAAGCCCAAGACATCTTACCACGAGCCTGCCTACAAGCCGACCCCATCTTACCACGAGCCCGCCTACAAGCCCAAGACGTCTTACCACGAGCCTGCCTACAAGCCGACTCCGTCTTACCACGAGCCCGCCTACAAGCCCAAGACGTCTTACCACGAGCCTGCCTACAAGCCGACTCCGTCTTACCACGAGCCCGCCTACAAGCCGACTCCTTCTTACCACGAGCCCGCCTACAAGCCGACTCCTTCTTACCACGAGCCCGCCTACAAGCCGACTCCTTCTTACCACGAGCCCGCGTACAAGCCGACTCCTTCTTACCACGAGCCTGCCTACAAACCGACTCCGTCTTACCACGAGCCTGCCTACAAGCCGACTCCGTCTTACCACGAGCCTGCCTACAAGCCCAAGACGTCTTACCATGAACCTGCCTATAAGCCTACTCCGTCTTACCACGAGCCTGCCTACAAGCCGACCCCGTCTTACCACGAGCCCGCCTACAAGCCCACTCCTTCTTACCATGAGCCTGCCTACAAGCCCACTCCTTCTTACCACGAGCCTGCCTACAAGCCCACTCCGTCTTACCACGAACCTGCCTACAAGCCCACTCCTTCTTACCACGAACCTGCCTACAAGCCCAAGACGTCTTACCACGAGCCAGCCTACAAACCCACTCCATCTTACCACGAGCCCGCTTATAAGCCCACTCCATCTTACCATGAGCCTGCCTACAAGCCCAAGACGTCTTACCACGAGCCTGCCTACAAGCCCTCGACGTCTTACGATGAGCCCGCCTACGACAAGCATAGCTCATCTCATGAATAAATAAGCACACAATTCGGACCTCTTGCTACCATCAGCCAACGCCTAAAGCGTTTCACAAACATCATAAATGTTCAGATTCAATAAAACGTTTGCCAGTCATTTATTATACGATTGCTGCATAAAACTCGAGCTACTGGTATCCTAAGCGAGGTTCCATATGTATGTAAATGTTCAATGGACTTACTCAGAACTCGTCTTTCTTTCTTGTATCGATGTCAGTATGGAGAGCTGATGCACGCCACAACGAATGTGAACGCATTTCGAGATAGCATCTGTTTTACAAGCACTTATGTCATCTTTTTGTAAAAGGATACGTTATCAGCTGTTTTACATGTTTCCTTTAGCGTTGTGTGTGTGATGTCTGTTGTCCATGATATTTATGTTGTATTTATTCAGTAATATACTCGTTTGAAGGCACCTGAGTATTTTATGTCAAAATTGAGTGAATTTATGAGACGTTGGATATAAGCAATCATATTATCATATCATATCATCATACATAGATAACAGTAGAACCATGAGCATAAGGTCATTTTTCATCATATGAATAAAATCTATCAAAAGTGTTAGACGAGAATCTAAGCGTGTGGATGCTTACTGGCGGGTGAGAACTGAGAACAGCTCCTGTTTCTCACACATTCAAATCACATTCAAATTCCTGCAAATCGAGTCTCAGTGCAAGCTCCAGGCATCCAAACATTTTACTCACTATCTAAAGCTACTAGCCTCCAAATCTAAGTAGAAAGGTGCACTATCTGAATCGTTGCAGCTCATTTCTTGCCGCTTATTGCCAACTTCATGCGTTCGGTATTGCTTCATCGGGGACAATCTACCTAACTGAACGACATCCGCTAATCGGTGTCTGTCCCACAGTTCCCTCAGTGCTGGAGGACGGTTATGGACCTTCTCAGCACCACCACCTAACAAGCTCGAAGCTAGCTACAGGCTACCAGCAACAGGCCACCACTCAGCGCAACATATCTATTTGGCCACTTGTATCGCCTTCTTTCGTTGGCCTCCGTCTGACTTGGGTTGGATGACAGCGGATCGAGCGTATATCATTGGATGCGAAAAGCACCAGATATTTGCATTGATCTAATAGGATGACTAAATATTAAAAGACTCTATAAGCTAATGGATAGTTAGTATACCGAGCTGCGCATCATGTTTCGCCAGCACCATTAGGACAGCAGTATATGACGTTAGCAGTCCATTGAGTCACAGAGCTCAGCTGTAGGCACTGCCGGAACGGTCTCTGCTCGTCAGGCTTTCAGTGGTGTGACGGGTGACGCATGACACGAACGGATATGTGTGCCGCAGATGCGGATTGGAAGGAAGCCTCTATGCGAATCCATTTAGAGACGCATATTCTGGCTCGCAGTTGAGCTTGCGTCCACACAGCTCCACTAGACTGTCAAAGCAGGAGGTCCAAGAACTGATAGATTTAACATACCGCTTTTGCCGTCGACATTGTGCCTCAACAGTGTCACTTTGGTATATTTTATACGTATTTTATTCCAATAAAATGTGCTGTTGGAGGAACATAGAAGCCAAAAGAAGCTGGTTAAGACACGCTTATTTTAAAGTAGGTACTGGAATTTATCAATATACCTACCTAGAGTCTACATATGTACATACATAGGTAGTTAGAAATTTGTAAATGCTTCGTTGTTTGTAAGAAGTACATGACAATGCGTTGCATAACGTTTAAAATTAATGCTCTCAAAGCGACGTTTCTGACTGGACCCTGATCCTGACCAAGCTCAAATTCTTACTTTCACACGAGCACTGGTGATTACGGAGCGAGCGAAGCGAGCGTAGTCTTTCCTTAGATTAACGGAAATTTCTGAGTATGAGCGGCCGGCCGGCCGGCCGGCCGTGGTCACGCTTTTGCGAGGCTTATATCTCAGCAACCACTTGACCGATTTACACGCGGTAATTTTTGTAGGGTAGCTTCATTCCTTCTACCAAGTATTGGACTATTGCCGATGCATGTGGGTGACCCCTTATGCACGTGCCACGTGCAAAACGAAGAGGTGTCACTTTTGTAATTGTTGCAATTTCTCAGTAACTACTTGGCCGATTGCGCTGAAAGTTGGCATGTAGGTAGGCACCCACTAGGCAATGCATATCCATGTGCCAGAATTGGGGTGCTGCTGCACGTGCGCACGTGCAGGGGTCGATTCCAGATCTCGAGAACGGCTGGACCGATGGCGCTCAAATTTGGCACATGGTTAGGGACCGGTTAGTAGGGTGCCGTGCAAAACTCAGTTGGGACCCATTTTGCACGTGCGCACGTGCAGGGTGCCACTTCCAGATCTCGAGAACGGCTGGGCCGATTGTGCTCAAATTTGGCACATCGCTAGAGACCGGTTAGTAGGGTGCCGTGCACAAGTCAGCTGGAGGTACCTCGTCGAAATTTCGCACGTGCAAGGCTCACCCTCTCGCTCGCTCCGTTAGTCGCCCCAAAAGGCGTTATACTGGTTATAAGCAGTGAATGATTGATAGTGAGCATTACAATATATAAGCAAATCGTGTGATAATGGATCAAACGCAAGACAAAAGCTTTTTGTATGAAAATATGGATACAAATATATCTGATACGTCGACAGACCTCACTTTAATCTGTCTTCTATTTTTCCTTTCTTTTCATCCAAATTAACCCGTTACATGCTTTTGAAAATGCATTCTTTTAATTTCTTCAACCATAGGTTCGAAAGTTAATAAAGGAATTTATTAAAATTTTCAGCATCTTAGATTAGCCGAAGAAATGTTCAACTATCGGCGCTCGGCGTTTAGCTTTAGAACCCAGTGCTGCACGCTTTATTACGGAGCGAGCGAAGCGAGCGTAGTCTTTCCTTAGATTAACGGAAATTTCTGAGTATGAGCGGCCGGCCGGCCGGCCGGCCGGCCGTGGTCACGCTTTTGCGAGGCTTATATCTCAGCAACCACTTGACCGATTTACATGCGGTAATTTTTGTAGGATAGCTTCATTCCTTCTACCAAGTATTGGACTATTCCCGATGCATGTGGGTGACCCCTTATGCACGTGCCACGTGCAAAACGAAGAGGTGTCCGTTTTGTAATTGTTGCAATATCTCGGTAACTACTTGGCCGATTGCGCTGAAAGTTGGCATGTAGGTAGGCACCCACTAGGCACTGCATATCCATGTGCCAGAGTTGGGGCGCTGCTGCACGTGCGCACGTGCAGGGGTCGATTCCAGATCTCGAGAACGGCTGGACCGATGGCGCTCAAATTTGGCACATGGTTAGGGACCGGTTAGTAGGGTGCCGTGCAATAGTCAGTTGGGCCCCATTTTGCACGTGCGCACGTGCAGGGTGCCGCTTCCAGATCTCGAGAACGGCTGGGCCGATTGTGCTCAAATTTGGCACATCGCTAGAGACCGGTTAGTAGGGTGCCGTGCACAAGTCAGTTGGAGGTACCCCCTCGCAATTTCGCACGTGCAAGCTCACCCTCTCGCTCGCTCCGTTGGTCGCCCCAAAAGGCGTTATACTGGTTATTGGCAATACACTTTAATGATATGCCAAAGAATACTCAAGTGAAAGCCCGTTCCGCTGGTTATAATAGTGTATCGCCACAGAATCGCGACATTGTGGTCACCGCATATGGGTTCATACTTCGCAATAGTTTCCCATGTGCATTCCAGTGTGGCTATAGGGACTGGAACTAATTTGTGGTTAGCCTTAACCTTGCAGGCTGAACTTTAATGTGCATCAACAGCAAAGACTGACTGGTTTTATTGAGCCAGGCTGACGTTGATGACACATAGATGTGCGTGATGCATTTCATAATCAAAGAAATGCATTTTGTTGACATGCTTGTCTTGTTTAGGAGAATTATAGTATTGCATACTTGAAGTTGATTGTAAACAATGACAGCATGCAGGTGGATGAGGATGAACTGAAATACATTCGACATATAGTATGTCATTTTTATCATTTTTCTCAATATCTTTACTAAACAATGCCGTTCAAGCTGTTTAAAGTGTAATAAAATTGAGCCTTTGCCTATTGTACGTACGTACATAGAAGCCCACCTTTCCACCACCGACGCGATGCGTCATTGTCGAGCTGCGTCACTGTCGACGATGACCGACGTCGTCGAGCTGCGACCGACAGACGGCTCGACGGAGCCCCTGGCGACGCACGTGCAGCCGAGAGCGCACGCCAGTCAGGGACTGGCGCGAGACGTGTGCCCTGGGTCACTCAGGGAAGTCCAGCCAACTGATCGCACACTGAGGGTGGGACAACAGCTCAAGGTAGGCCAATAACAGTGTTCTGTTTGAGAGCTGAGCTAGAATTCATTATTAAGTACCGAGGTTTCAAGAGATGAAGATTTCTTACGCCAGGAAGTCAGTAGAGTGAAGAAGGACAATATCCAGACCACTTTCTAAGGTGTTATCTGTATCGTATCAGTTCCTAGACCAAAAATGAATGCACAACACGGCCTGTGCTTTTTGTTGATCCTTTTTACTAGAATTACTAGTGTGCTGAATGCAGCAGAGCCTTTTACTACCGAAGAGAGTATTCCCATTTTGAAGAATGTTGACGAAGAATCAGCTGAAAAGATCGACGTGTCTCAGAGTGCAACCAATACTGAGAACGCAGGTTCCACAACGGGAGATGAAAACCAAGAAAAACACAATGACAGGTCTCCTTTAGACAATCTATTAACACAACGGTCATCAACAAATGCTAGAAATGACACTACCTTGGAAGCAGAAGTACTTCAGGCGCACAGTGAAGAGATGTTTCCAAATGAACTTGAAAAAGGAGACGAAAAGGCGGGACAACCAAGGAGGAAAGACAATCCAAATCCATCGAACGAATCCACTACAGACACGCCAGTTACAGCATCCAATGGTCTTCCGTCATCTGAGACCGAACCAATCAAAGACCCAGCCGTGCCGGGAGGATCGAAGTCCTATTCCGGAGCCGCCTCTGCGACTGGCGATGTGCCCGCCGGCGGTGTCCGGGCCCCTGCAAGCTCTGACTCGCCCGGTTTCACGGCGTCTGGTGGCTATTCGGTGGAGGGCGACGCCTCAGCAAGAAGCGTTGAAGTCGACGTTATTTCACTTACTCCCATCTCCGTTGATCCCACTTCATCACAATCCTCCGGGCATTCGGTGAACAATTTGGGCGCTCCACTACAAACAACATCGTTTCCCGCCGAGGTGGTTTCAACGGCATTTTCAAATGCTTCCGATTCTCAGCAGGCCGTTTCTCTGCTCCCTGCCACTAAGCATCTCCTGACCTCTTCCACGGGCAGCTCTCTGATCCCCGCCCAACCTCTCGACCAGCTGCCGGCTCCCGGCTCCCCCGGCGCGCCGCCGTCGGCCGCGCCGGCCGCGCGCCTCCGCAGCCCCGTCTTCGAGGCCCATCTCGTCTCCATCATCGTCTCCAAGGCCAGGACGCCGTTCGACTACGAGATCAGCGGGCCGGCCATCGAGCTGGCCGTGGAGACGGTGTCGCAGCTGTACCCGCACATCCGCTTCACCCACGTCTACCGCAACGGCTCCAACCGGTGCACGCCCGACGAGGCCGGCTACCTGGCGGCCGAGGAGCACTGCCGGCGTCCGGTGACGGCCTTCATCGGGCCCGGCTGCAGCGACGCGCTCACCAGCCTCGGTAGGTGGCTAGATTAGTAAAGCTGGTGAGGTGTGGGCTTAAAGACATTTAGTGGGTCCTGACTGGCACAATCATAGATGAAAGGTGCATGTCTGCAGATGAATAGGATAATTGGCAAATTTAGTGACGTGTCTACCGAGAAGCCCAGTAGCTGTTCGATATGTAGTTATACAGGTATATGCGACCCATCTTTCCACAAAGAAGAGGTCAATAGAACCACGGATTGCATGCATTGATACAAATAATTGTGTCATTCGTTATCAATAACAAAACAAGGAAGGCAGATGATCCAGAATATAGGTATGCGGTATCATTATTATTCTGGCCCTGTTCAGAAGCAAGAGTATCAACCACCCACCAATTGAGCCCTTGATTAATGCATTCATTTGCTAAATCAATTAATCATTGAATTAATAACGTCCCATTTTCCAGCGGGCAGCGCAAAGTGATGCTAGTTAGGAGCTCCATTTTTATCATTAGCGTCGTTCTTCAGGCCTAAAATCTTATTAAATTTAAATCTAGAACGACCAAACTTTCGGACCGAAACGAAGGGGCCTTGCAACTCTTCCATTCAACAGATTTGAACTAAATTTATTGAAAAAAAAACGTTATAAGATTGATTATATAAGGCTATGGGGAAGGGGGAAATAATGTTGAATAATATGCACATTAAATACCAGTGATCCCTGCCCTCAACCAGTAGCGGCGGAACACCTTATTCTTTCCATGCAACGCCCGGCTAATGTTAAAATGCTTAAATCAAAGGGGGCACGGTGCCCCGGTGCCCTCCCCGTTCCGCCGCCTATGCCCTCAACCTTTTTTTAGCAAATTGGCTAATAGCTCGCATAAACTTATAAAACCGCAACATCGCAGAGAGCACCACCGACATCTCCATGTGCCGGCCCGGCAGGACAGGTATCACTGAGCCTGCCTCTGTTCGGCAGGGCAGGTATCACTGAGAGTTCCTCTGTTCGGCAGGACATGTATCACTGAGCCTGTCTCTGTTCGGCAGGGCAGGTATCACTCAAGTATCACGGAGTTCCTCTGTTCGGCAGGGCATGTATCACTCAGCCTGCCTCTGTTCGGCAGGGCAGGTATCACTGAGCCTGCCTCTGTTCGGCAGGGCAGTTATCACTGAGAGTTCCTCTGCTCGGCAGGGCAGGTATCACTAGTCTGAGAGTGCCTCTGTTCGGCAGGACAGGTATCACTGAGCCTGCCTCTGTTCGGCAGGGCAGGTATCACTGAGAGTTCCTCTGTTCGGCAGGGCAGGTATCACTGAGCCTGCCTCTGTTCGGCAGGGCAGGTATCACTGAGCCTGCCTCTGTTCGGCAGGACAGGTATCACTGAGCCTGCCTCTGTTCGGCAGGACAGGTATCACTGAGCCTGCCTCTGTTCGGCAGGACAGGTATCACTGAGCCTGCCTCTGTTCGGCAGGACAGGTATCACTGAGCCTGCCTCTGTTCGGCAGGACAGGTATCACTGAGCCTGCCTCTGTTCGGCAGGGCAGGTATCACTGAGAATGCCTCTGCTCGGCAGGCCGGATGGCGGCCAAGTGGAACGTGCCAGTGCTCACGTCCGGAGGCAGCAGCCAGCTTCTCGGCGACAAAAAGGTTTTCTCGACACTCACCAGACTCTCACACACCATGGATGACCTGAAGCAACTCATTCGGAGAGTGTTCAGAAAGTACCAGGTGAGAACAACAAACAAGTGAGTAAGTGAGTAACTTGGTCGGAATACCGTTGGGGAAGAGGGAGACAAGCTCCAGAAAAACTGAACTTCCCCAATTAATGGGGTCGGGTAAGTTCAGAAATATGGGGATTGCTTGTCCTGTTGCTTTTGATTTGCATTGAAACGTTGGAGAAATCCCACACCTAACTATCTTGAGAAGAAATATTTTCGAGACGCTTTCAGGCTAAAACATTTCACTTCAAGGTCAGATCCAAACTGGGGAAGGTTGGTCCACGTCCAGAATTTCGAGTAGGATCGGATCAACATTGCTGACGGGACATAAGCTGCTGCAGATTTCAGACTTCCAGTTCTTGCAAAGCATACTATAGTCTCCTCGAGATTTTAGGCGCCGTTTGTCTGGCTGCGCAGTGGAGGAACATAGCGGTCATATACAACGAGGAATGGTCCTACTCTCGCCTGCTGGGAACGGCCCTGAGGCGCCGGTTCGACGGGCCCGACCGGCTGCACATCGAGCACTACCCATTCAGAGCTGACGCGTCACCAAACAAGATCAGACAGCTGCTGACGAGCGCTGCCGAACAGGCCAGAGGTGAGACGGCTGGTGCCGAACGGTGGGACGACTGGGAGACTGGGAGATAAACAGCGGGGCCGTGAGATGAACGGTGGGAGGACTGGAAGACTGGGAGATAAACAGTGGGGCCGTGAGATGAACGGTGGGATGACTGGGAGACGAATTGTGGGAGCGGGAGACAAACTATTGGACTGAGAGACGAACGGTGGGAGGCCTGGGAGATAAATGGTGGGACTGGCCGACTAAGAGACGAAGGGTGGGACAGGGAGATGAACGATGGGATGACTGGGGGATGACGGTGGGATGCCTGGGAGACAAAGAGTGGGACTGGGAGAAGAGCGGTGATACGATTTTTTAGTAGCGCCATGGCCATCACATAACACCGATCTAAATCATATGAGGCCTGACCTGGGCCGTGAGTCGATCTCACCGCCCCTGCCGTCTGCCCTCAGTGTTTCTACTGGCGGCTCAGGGTGACAGCATCCGCTCACTGCTACTCGAAGCACACAGCCTGGGCTTCAACAACGGCGAGTTCGCCTTCCTGACCGTGGAGCCGTTCCGCAGTAAAACTCTGGGTAACTTCGGATGGCACCGCGAGGGCGACTCAGAAGAGCGGAACGAGGTGAGGTCACGGCCCCATGGGGTAGCAGATAATATTGACACGGGAACGCTAAGATATCTCACCACCAGAATTGTAATAGCATGATAAGATTTGTTTTGGGTTAGTAGCCGTTGTAGCAGCTAATTGTGTTATCATAATCATATGAAGTTATAAAAAGATAATAAATATGACGTCAGCGGTATCATTTTCACGATGCGATTTTTTACAACACTGTTGATAATGATATCACTATCGTGTTGAATGGTTCTGAAACTTTCTTTCTCAGGCGGCAAGAGAAATGTTCGAATCCCTTCTGAAAATATCGCTCTCTACGCCAAAGACACAAGACTTTCCAAAATTCATAAAGGAGACTCAACGTCGAAGCAAGGAACAGTACGGCCTTTCTCTGACCTACGAGGAGGTATGTACGTGCACATATGTACCTTAGTAGTACCTACCCTGGATTTGCCCAAGCATGGGCTGAAAAGGGGGTGGCGGTAGCCTCCGAAGGTGACATCTGAACGAATGATTCCTTTCCGTATTCGTCATCAAGTTAAAATCGGGTTATACATAGGTACTGGGATTAAGGACAGATTAAGCCATGGCGCTCAAGAGCGCCATGGCTTTCGGTTGCCACTGTGGATGGTTGCAGTAGCGTCGTTATATAACCACCTATCACAGGTGGTCTCTCAATTAGGCTCAGGTATTTTTAGTGCTAATGGTATAATCCGTGTGCCGGCTAACCTAGCGCGCTGCGCGCACACTGGGCAGGATCCGTCCGGCAACCATTTGACGTCTGGCCCGCGATTGGTATCAGAAAAGAACATCATATAGTCCGGCTTGACCGAGCCTCGGAAATTGAAAATAGCTTCTACAAAAGCTGATGCTTCTTCGTTTTCTCGCAGTATTCTTTCTTAATTATACATTTTTCACAAGTTTTGACCCTAATGGTGCAGGAGACATAATACAATCCATACGGGGTTTTACGTGTAAGCCCTGAGATCCCACATCGACATCGTATTCGAGAAAAAAAAAACTTGCTAATTTTTTATGCAAATTGCTTGCAAAGTCTTCATTTTAAGCCATTTCACCGATCGCTAAAGTCATATGCAATATCGTGTTTGGCCGAAATATTTGAAGACTACATGGTCGTGCATGGTGTTCACAGGTAACGACACCCGTGGTGACGGGTCTGTACGACTCGGTGATCATCTACGCCTGGGCCGTGGACCAGGTGTTGAGGTCGGGTGGTGACCCCTCCAATGGGGTGCAGGTCACGCGGGTTATCTGGAACAACACCATCTCGGGCGGTGAGCACTCGGTGGAATGGAGAACGGGGTAGGTAGATGGTGGAGTATGGGCAATGTGTAGGTATTCGTCGATGACATAATCGTAATCAAAGGTGGTAATCGTAATCGAAGAAAGCAGTCGATAATCGAAGATAATAATCGTTTCATCTTGGCACCATGGCAGCATGTAGAGTGGTCGTATCGTGCTGATGGAAAGCACCCTTCAAGTGAGCGATTTTAAAACATTGTGAGCGAACGAAAAATATTGTACCTAATTTGCCATCTAATATGTCAGTCTAAATAACCTAAATGTTACTCATCGGTTTCAACGTCATTACAACCAGCGTGCGCAGGCGCAGAAAATTGAGCTTCGGGTCGGCGACTGTCGCCCGATCGCACTGGGATCGCCCAGCGGCCTACGCTTTCAACCACCATTGTTAGAGGCCATTGAGTAGGTCCGGCACTTACCTGGCTTGTGTGTGGATTCCAGTCTGCATCGCTTCTGAAAGTTGAATCCTGTCGAGTGCCGCCAAAGAGCAGCACAGTCACCACGCGCCCCACCACGCACACACAATTTGCACTATAGCAAGCAGTCCCTGCAGATGTCTGCACCAAACTGCTTAGACATCAGTCGTCTGCTGAGTGATAAACACCACAAACACCGTACTTCCTTCCTCCCCGGCTCGACTCGCCCTGTCTCGACGACACCGCACTACGCACTGTTCGCCTCTCATCAGCCCCAACCCGCGGTATCAGGTGATAGCAGAGGCAAATGCCACGGTTCCGTCTCATGTGACCGGTCGTGGAGAAGCTCCGACGAACGCGTCAGAGGCGCACACAGCGGCCAGTAAAAGGTCGGCGCAGCACCGACGAACGCGCCAGAGGCGCACCCAGCGGCCAGTAAAGGGTCGGCACAGCGCCACCGAACAGAGACGCTCTCAGCGACGCTTCTAGGGGTAACGAGCGAGGGGTCACGCTTCTAGATGTACTTACCTAAACTTTTTAAGGGTTGAGATGAGCATTAGTCATACTGCTTTTGCAGGAGTTTTGCGATCATAATGACAACGCACTGTGTTTTAACTCTGGACCAAAACTGGCCAGGGCTCGTAACTAAGAAACTATACGAGATACAGACGTGTTTTTGGGCTCAAACGAAACGTTGGAAACTAACGATCATTTAAAGTGCAAAACGTGTCGTACCAGATGCTTATGCACTTGTTTATGACGTCACAAGTATTACGAAACATATTAAAAATATTGTCATGTTCTAGCCATTATTGCACGAGCATTTGGGTATCTGTATATTTAGAATAATCGTAGGTCTGAGCAAGGCTCATCGATGAGGCAAGTCAAGGTTGAGGACATGACCTTATTAATTAGCGTTGATGACCTCAGGTGACCTTGAATGCCCTTATATAGGACTTATTCATATAGGACCTACAATCTTTATATTTATTTCAAAAACATTTTCAAACGTGTGTTTTGATATCAAATTGATGTTAACCCTAACCCCACTTTAGTAAGTCCAAAGTCTTGTATGTTTACGTCACATGACGTCAGGGGCGGATCCAGCTAATCCGTTTGGAGAGGGCAAAAGTTCCCGACCCATTCGGTGACCCCGATCGGGTGACTTAATAACGCTACACGACATCTGCAATCTGCATGTGTGCAGTTCAGGGAGTTCCATCTGTTATCAGCATACCGACCTAAATCATGAGCAGCGAGCGGTCACCTCCATCCTTCAGAATGGTTGTGACGGAAAGACCTGCTATTCGTCCAGGTAGGCATCGACGCTGTATCATATTTTCTCATCACCAAAAGCTTTGCGGAGGGGCAAAAAGCTAGTCTTGCCCACACTATTCAGCTGTGGGGAGGGCAAATACCAACTATGCCCTTCACTGGATCCGCCATTGCATGACGTGAGATTGAAGAAATGGTAGAATGTATCCCAAAACTTCTTACCAATTCCTATTGTATGGTGCAGGCGCGGATACAAGGGGGGCCATGGGGGCCATGGCCCCCCCCCCCCCCCTTGGCCGATTTTTTTTCAAAAATAAAATAAAAAGTTAAAAAGTTAAAAAGCTGAAAAGGGGGCCTCCTGAAAATAAAGTGGCCGAAATCCGATGAGTTTTTTTTTTAACCTACCCACTTAGTTATTTCTTAGAAGACTAGCTGAGAAGACTTCTTTGTTAGAAGATTGGTAAAGCTTTTCATAACTTGGAGGTCTCTTATACTCACAGAGATGACCACTTTTACAGGGCCTCCTAACCTGCACAGAGGGCCTCCAAGCCTGCACAGATGTTGAGATGTTGCCTGAACAGCTAGATAAGCTCAATAGGCGCAGTTTTTTTTTTGGGGGGGCCCACAAGTGGGAAGATGGGGCCTCCAACAGGTGGGATTATGGGGGGGGCCTCCTGGTTTCTAATGGCCCCTCCCTTGGAGATTTTCTGGATCCGCCTCTGGTATGGTGCTTTATGTAACATGCAACGTGCATGTAAAAACTTCATGGCCATACTAAATGACGCTTACTGCAGCAAACGGATACTTTTAATAAATGTGGACAGCACTAATGATACCACCTACATCGGACGTATTAATACTGACTGAAGAGGCGGATGGTAGCCCTGCCGAACGCAAACAGGTAATGGACGATCAAAAGCCGATCATCGTTTTGGCAGCGATGCGTGCTGTGGCAGGTCTCATACAGCCACCTTTCAGCTCACAGTCCCATCACAAACTGGGCTTATAATTATTACTTGATTGCGTTTCATTAGGTACTAAATGATGCTTATAAACTATCAAGCAGGCACACGTGTAGCGACCATACAGCTCCAGAGCCCATCTATGAATTTCCTGCAATAGCCACGGCGTGTAAGGTTCCTTCTGTAGACCTATAGGTACCACACTTAATTAATTTTACCAATAATGATGTTGATATTCAAGAAATGTATATTTCATAGGAATGATAGCAATTTTTTTAAAACTGTCATTCGCCGACATTGTCCGGTCTCGGGTTCCGGAGACCTTTTGTTTTCTTCTCGCGATACATGAAAATGCAACTGGCACGTGTCGTGGGGGTCGTGCCGTCGTGCCGTCAGCTGATTACGCCCCAGGGTACGGCAGGTCGCACACAGGTCGGCGACCTTCCATGGGCCACCAACTCGTCACAACAGACGAGAGAATGAACGAGAGGTACTAGCCTCTTCCCTTGACGCACGCCAGGGCCCGTCCCATGGCTCAGCAGGAGCAGACATGACTCATTCAAAAAAAGTGTTCACCCCCAACACCGGCGCACTCGGGCGCAGCTGAAATTTTTAGGACATGTAGACAACTTCTTGACCCACAGTGTGGTGGTAGTCCAAGACCGTACACTAGCGTACAATTTTTTGTAGCTCTATTAGAACATTGACATTTTTCAAAAAATTGTGCCAATGTAGGGGCTGACGGAAATCAATAAAAATAACACCTATGTGCATTATAATTATATGAATTATGACTCACTACAAAGCCAAAAGTTCGCGCTATCGTTTGGTACCGGAATTATGTAGTTTGGTCAATCCAAAGCTCGAAGACGTTGACGTGAAGCAAGGCGGCTGTTTCTGCGTTTGTTCGCCGAAGTTTAGCTTTTGAGAGTTGTCCGACTTTGTTGTACATTCTCAACGTTTTCAAAAGTGAAGAGAATAAAAGTTTCCGTCGTTGAAGATGCTCTGATCATTTTTGAACATGATAGTGGCCAAATGAAAACGTTTAAAAATAGTCGATATTTCGCGTCCTGGCCAGTTTTTGGCCAGCGTTAAAACACGGTGCAACGGTGCAATTCTTCTTTTTTTCAAAATTAATGTTCACGGGAAACGGTATTTAAACGATGTCGTGCGGTACGCAATTATTCAATTTTCTCATTAATTCAAGAAAATAATACTACTAACGTTACTTTCTGCTGTATCTGCAGGTATCAGCGGTATCATCAAAATAAACAGCTATGGCGACAGAGAATCCGACTACACCGTCACCGATATCAACCCATCGACAGGTGACTGGGAGGTAAGTAGACATAATCACACTTCTCTCTCTCTCTCTCTCTCTCTCTCTCTCTCTCTCTCTCTCTCTCTCTCTCTCTCTCTCTCTCTCTCTCTCTCTCTCTCTCTCTCTCTCTCTCTCTCTCTCTCTCTCTCTCTCTCTCTCTCTCTCTCTCTCTCTCTCTCTCTCTCTCTCTCTCTCTCTCTCTCTCTCTCTCTCTCTCTCTCTCTCTCTCTCTCTCTCTCTCTCTCTCTCTCTCTCTCTCTCTCTCTCTCTCCCTATCTCTCTCTCTCTCTCTCTCTCTCTCTCTCTCTCTCTCTCTCTCTCTCTCTCTCTCTCTCTCTCTCCTTTTGATACAAATCCTACTGGTGAAGGGGAATCATGATGCTTACATCAAAAGTGCATCATCCTACGACCGGACTGTGACCCCTCTGGCAGGAGATGGCCCACTGGAGTGGCGCCGAGGGTGTTCTGACCGGACTGTGACCCTCTGGCAGGAGGTGGCCCACTGGAGCGGCGCAGAGGGTGTTCTGATCGAGGTGCACGACGTCTGGTGGCCCGGCGGCGGCGCGGCGCCGGCCAACCAGCCCCTGTGCGGCTACGCCGGCGACCGGGGACCGTGCCGGCCGCTGGAGGTCACTGATCCGCTGGTCCTCAGCAGCCTGATCGTTCTGCTCGGACTGGTGGCGCTCAGCGTGGCGTGAGTGAGCCACTCAGGGACACACAATACACATCCCGTGACATGGAACAGGATCTCAGGGATCCAGATTCATTGGCTCCTGGTTGTGTCATTATACCTACCAGTATAACGCCTTTTGGGCCGACTAACGGAGCGAGCGAGAGGGTGGGCCTTGCACGTGCGAAATTTCGAGGGGGTACCTCCAGCTGACTTGTGCACGGCACCCTACTAACCGGTCTCTAGCGATGTGCCAAATTTGAGCACAATCGGCCCAGCCGTTCTCGAGATCTGGAAGCGGCACCCTGCACGTGCGCACGTGCAAAATGGGTCCCAACGGACTTTTGCACGGCACCCTACTAACCGGTCCCTAACCATGTGCCAAATTTGAGCGCCATCGGTCCAGCCGTTCTCGAGATCTGGAATCGACCCCTGCACGTGCGCACGTGCAGCAGCACCCCAACTCTGGCACATGGATATGCATTGCCTAGTGAGTGCCTACCTACATGCCAACTTTCAGCGCAATCGGCCCAGTAGTTACCGAGATATTGCAACAATTACAAAAGTGACACCTCTTCGTTTTGCACGTGGCACGTGCATAAGGGGTCACCCACATGCATCGGGAATAGTCCAATACTTGGTAGAAGGAATGAAGCTACCCTACAAAAATTACCGCGTGTAAATCGGTCAAGTGGTTGCTGAGATATAAGCCTCGCAAAAGCGTGACCACGGCCGGCCGGCCGGCCGGCCGCTCATACTCAGAAATTTCCGTTAATCTAAGGAAAGACTACGCTCGCTTCGCTCGCTCCGTAATCAAGTCTCGCTTGCTATCTGTAAGATGTAAATCATGAAGGAAACTTGAAAACGCGCAAACTGTCAAAGCATATGCAATAGCTATTTTCGTGTGCCACCTGACATTGACCTCGTGTAGCTGCTGACGATTTTGATAGTCCATGATTCTATTCCAGATTGATCATTATGTCCAGATTACGGAGCAAGCAGCTAGAGCTAAAAAGCAAATGGCAAATTCACCTGTCGCAGCTAACTCCTTGTCCTGAAGACAACGAATCAACGGTAAAAAAGCACTTCATCGTCATCTCATCACTGCTTTCAAAAGTTTCAGGAGTGGATTTCGGACACGATTCCATTGATTGGGTAGTTATTTCGATGCAAGTGACAAAATATTACCGTTGTGTTATTTCATCGTCAGGTGTAACATAAAATATTGCTGCAAAAATTACGAAAACATTAACATAGCTTTTACTAATCAAATAAGACACTGCGTTAAAAGTTCTGCCCATTAAAATATTTTCCTAACGCTAAAAAACTGTTTCTCCTACCGAACAGTACGACACAGGAGACGATCACCGCCCGCCGCTGTGGGAGAGCGCCACCTCGCTGCCGTCCCGCGTCTCCTTCCGCGGCAGCAACGTGTTCCTCAAGCCCATCGGCGTCAGCAAGCTGGTCGTCTCCAAGGAGATGCTGCTCGAGTTCAAACAGGTAAATACACACTTTTGCCAGAAATTAATAAAAAAAAGTAAGGACGATGGAAGAATAACAATAAGGGACAAGAACGGACGACTTAGCTTGAACGGTTTTTTAGCACTGTCTCTGCTTTCTCTACGACTTTATTTATAATTGGAGCAAACATTGATGAGTTGATGCTGAACTAAACGACCAAACGTAACAACCAAACAATGTGTTTCACTTTCAGATGCGGGAGACCAGTCACGACAACTTGCTGTATCTCCATGGCGCGCTTCAGTTCGCCGGTCGCGTGTACTTTGTCACCGACTACTGCTCAAAGGGCAGTCTGGGTCACTTCCTTCGCAACAGTCCGCTCAAGCTGGACTGGTCACTGCGTCGCGCCATCGTGTTTGACATTGTCAGTGGACTCGACTACCTGCATCACTCAGAGGTGAGTGGAAGGAGGTGGACTCTTCACACAATGCGGTGGTCGGTACTACTTCTCGCTCTATTTTTTTTTTTTCATTTTTAGATGACCGTCTCAGTGTGAAATTTGAATGACCTCACCGAGTTTGCTCTTCCGGTCTTCCGGCTTATGTCGACCGGAAAAGGGTTTTGCAAATAAAAATTATACTTTCCATAACAAAGCTTTCTTTGGTGGTCACAGGGATATCATTTTCATGCTTCGGTCATAAAGCGAAGTAGGTACTCCATTTATATTTTGATGCAATAATCATTGCGACTTCTCATTTGCCACTGCTCATAAGCAAGTAGGCCCTCATAACTGTGCGGCTGGTTGGTGTCTTTGTCAGATTGGAAGTCACGGCTCGCTCACGTCCAGTGACTGCCTCCTGAACGGACGATTCACCGTCAAACTGACCGGTTTCGGAATGAGCAGCGTGCGAGCGCAGATGCCCCCCAACGTCCGACCAGGTAAGCGGCCACGAGTATGTACCGGCGTCCGGCGCTGCCATTTTTGGAGTTACACGCAATTAACTCTAATTAGAAGCTGCTTCAATGGGAGTCCTAAATATGAGGTAGGACTATACATAAAATCAAATGTAATTTATTCGCTTACATTGTCAGCGTTACGGTGAAATTACGGCGAGTTTTACCTCATATACGAAAAGATCGATTCACTGATCGTCGTAACTTCTACGCGCTTTACAGCTATCCATTTCTTTTTCTTCTTTTTTTTGTCGGCATAACATATCATATTGCTGCTTATGTTGCGCTCTTTTTGATATTTTGTCTACCAGCATCACTGTAACAAACTCCCCATTCCTTGAGAGTTTATTGCTCAGTACGTCAACATTTCAGAGCGACTTCTTTGGGTAGCGCCGGAGAACCTGCGCGATCAAGAGAAACCCCGAGTGGCCACGGGAGATATATTTTCCTTCGCGATAATACTGCAGGAGATTGCCACCAGGACCATGCCCTACGGTCACATGACCCCGCTGGAGCCACCAGGTGCGTGTGCATTCTAAATCAAACCGCCGCAGTATTGACAAAGTTTTGGGAAGGGTACAGGCGATAGTAATGTCCTTCGCCAAAAAAAAAGTAACACTGGCTAGGTTTCAAGGGTTTTCCTAATGACACACACAATCAATTGTCCAGGACTTCAATTCTTCATCAATCAATAAAAAAATCTTATTTTTCAAGACATCAATTTTTCAAAGGTTGCCTGACAGCCATCGAGTGCCGCTGACGGCTCCCAGTGCGCTGACCGGCCTCTGTGTGTGGGCGCTCGTCCCCAGACGTTCTGGAGATCCTGCAGCGGGTCCGTGCCGGCACCACGCCGCCGTTCCGTCCCGAGGTATCCCGAGACCTGGTCGACGAGGCCCACTTTGAGCTGATGCGCCAGTGCTGGGACGAGCTGCCCCACCAGCGGCCCACGGCAGCCGCTCTCAAACGACAGCTCACCAGGACAGTCAAGTAAGTACGGGCCACACAGCCATGCTAGATTGTTCTTTTCTCTGCAACGTGTCTTCAACATGCTTATTTACATATTGTATGGGTCTTGTATTTGCATCGGTTAGTCAAGCAACTGTTTACGGAGCGAGCGAAGCGAGCGTAGTCTTTCCTTAGATTAACGGAAATTTCTGAGTATGAGCGGCCGGCCGGCCGGCCGGCCGCTCATACTCAGAAATTTCCGTTAATCTAAGGAAAGACTACCAGACATGTGCATGGATCCGAGAAAATGGATCTGGGATCTGATCCCACGGATCCTGATCTCGGATCCGTCGGGATCGTAGATCCAGCTCTTTAATTTATCTAGAGATCCGTAGGGATCATAGATCCGATTCTAGTATTTTTGCTTGAGATCCAGTGGGATCATAGATCCTCATTTATTTTTGATCAACACAGAAATCCCAAAAGATCACTCGTTGCAACTCACAAACGTTCTTATTTAGCGATTTTATGTGATAACACGTCATAATCCATCGTTTTAAGGCACTTATTGACATAGAAACACTTGGAAACCTGGTTTCAAATGTTGTGCATGGTGGGATTCACTCAGATCATAGATTCATGTCCTTGGTTTATCATTAGATCCTGTGAGATCATAGATCCAGGATAAATTTTTCACGCCGGATTCGGTGGGATCATAGATCCGAACCTGCAATTTGCCTAGAGATCCACTGAGATCATAGATCCATCACTCGGATCCATGCACATGTCTGAAGACTACGCTCGCTTCGCTCGCTCCGTAATGAGCGGCCGGCCGGCCGTGGTCACGCTTTTGCGAGGCTTACGAGTATATCTCAGCAACCACTTGACCGATTTACACGCGGTAATTTTTGTAGGGTAGCTTCATTCCTTCTACCAAGTATTGGACTATTCCTGATGCATGTGGGTGACCCCTTATGCACGTGCCACGTGCAAAACGAAGAGGTGTCCGTTTTGTAATTGTTGCAATATCTCGGTAACTACTTGGCCGATTGTGCTGAAAGTTGGCATGTAGGTAGGCACCCACTAGGCACTGCATATCCATGTGTCAGAGTTAACCCGCGCGGGGCTGGGGGGGGGTAAATTTTACCCCCCCCTCGCGAATTTTTGCGATATCTCAAAAACGGCGGCGCGCAGCGCCGCCAAACTTTCAGTACCTTTTCTTACATCAATTTGACACCTTCCCTGAAAATTTGAGCGAAATCCGTCGGAAAATTTTTGAGAAATTGACGTTTTAGTGACCTCATGTTCGCCATTTTCGCCTCAAAAACGGCAAAAGTTCAAACGCCGCTAACATCTTCATTTTTAAAGGAATCAAGACGTAACAAAAAAGGTTATACGTAATTTTACTTTGTCTATCAAATGGCTATCTCGGTTTTTTGAAAATTTTGGATTTTGGCCTAAATTTTTTCAAAAAACTGATTTTTTTGGGAAAATCATTATAAAATCCAAAATTTCCAGTCTATCGAAAAAACCGGAATATATGTCAGAGAAGTGGTCTATGTGCACCTACATACCAAATTTTAGAAGAATCGGTTCAAAAATGTGGGAGTTATTCAAAATTTTATGACGTCACGACACACAAAATTTTTGAAAAATGACTTTTTTGGAAGTTCTAGACCTCCTACGGAAACAAAAATAGCACCATTCGATTCGCCGTGAAAAACTGCATCAGATAGACACCTTTTTAGGCCTTAACAACCAACTTCAAAATTTGACCTCACTTGACCTGACCTTGACCTGACCTTGACCTGAAATTCATCCAGATGTGGTCCATATCACTTATTGAGTGTGCCTATTGAATTCTATGAGTAAAATGACCCATAAAACATGTGTCGCACATGCCCTTTTCCATATTTTGTTTTTTGGTGACCTGACCTGACCTGACCTGACCTTGACCTTGACCTCTGAATGATATTGTATGCAACTAATATTGTCTTGGTAGCCTAAGAACACGTTTTGGGCGATCAGTCTCAGTCCATGACTCCATCCTTCGGCAACTACGGTGCAAGGCCGATACTGTAGAAACTTGCAATTTGTACCCTTGACCTGACCTTGACCTTGACCTCAAACTTTAAATTAAGTACATGTTTTTAGTAGTTCGTGATGAGAGCTTTCGATTGGCGTTTTAATTTTCCAAATCGGACCATTAGTTCGGGAGATAACAGGGGGGGGTAAAATTTACCCCCCCCCCCCCCCAGCCCCGCGCGTTCGGCTGGGGACCCCAGCCCCGCGCGGGTTAAGGCGCTGCTGCACGTGCGCACGTGCAGGGGTCGTTTCCAGATCTCGAGAACGGCTCGACCGATTGCGCTCAAATTTGGTACACAGTTAGGGACCGGTTAGTAGGGTGCCGTGCACAAGTCAGTTGGGACCCATTTTGCACGTGCGCACGTGCAGGGTGCCGCTTCCAGATCTCGAGAACGGCTGGGCCGATTGTGCCCAAATTTGGCACATCGCTAGAGACCGGTTAGAAGGGTGCCGTGGACAAGTCAGTTGGAGGTACCCCCTCGCAATTTCGCACGTGCAAGGCCCACCCTCTCGCTCGCTCCGTTAGTCGCCCCAAAAGGCGTTATACTGGTGAGTATTTGAGTGAGCAGCGATGTTGATCCCTGGCTTATGTTTCTGCTCAGAGCGAGCCCGAACCTGTTGGACGCCCTGCTGGAGAGAATGGAACGGTACGTCAGCAATCTGGAGGACCTGGTGGAAGAGAAGTCGGCCGCCTTCCTGGAGGAGAAACGTCGATCTGAAGAACTTCTCTACCAAGTTCTGCCGAGGTGGGCTGGAGTTTTCATTGGTCGTCCGTACAACCTGTATATGTAGATGTGTTCCATTCTGACTCGCCACGGTTTTGTTTCACGATTTCACTCGAAATCGTTTGTCGATATCGATCCATTTTCGATAAGTGACATTTTAGTTTTTACCATCTCCATCACTCTCAGATACATAGCCGAGCAGCTGAAGCAGGGAAAACAGGTGCGGCCGGAGAACTTTGAGTCGGTCACCGTCTACTTCTCGGACATTGTCGAGTTCACGGCTCTGTCGGCCATCAGCACGCCGATACAGGTAAGTGATGAGAGACGGGCGACGTAAGACAACAGACTACCTACTGATGGCTGATGACTGACGGCTGATGACTGATGACTGACGACTGACTAGTGCGAATATCGATGCCACGGGCGGGGTAGTATGAACTTTAGATAAACTATTTTAAAAACGAGAATGATACGATATTCACAGGGTAGCCGATACCGTTTATTGATTTGAAAAGAAAGGAGACTTCCTCGAAATAAAATTGTAATTACAAAAATCAGCGCGAAGAAAGCAACTATAATCTTAACGCATCAGTACGTCACCACCCACCGGCACCTCGTGTGACTGCGGGTGATAATGTCTCCCATTTCATTTAATCTTTTTTTCAGGTGGTTGACATGCTGAACGGCTTATACACGCTGTTTGACCGGATTATATCCAACTACGACGTCTACAAGGTGGAGACCATCGGAGACGCTTACATGGTGGTCTCTGGTAAGACAGTCCATTAAACTCTGCACTGCAATAGACCCGTCATGTGTATCTCAAGCATAGTCGATAACGGATAAAGGGTGTAATTTTAGCATACCCTGGAGGCTATGACTTTACCATGTCATTGAACTTACATTTACAAATCACGCATTAACTTTACGATGAAATCGGATGCCTCCTGCAGGTCTTCCCGTCAGAAACGGCAACTTGCACGCCAAGCATATCTGTCTGATGGCGCTGTCACTGCTGGAAGCCATCAAACAGGTAGGCTGCCTGGCTGAAAGAGCGCATGACACGTAGATGTTTTGTTCTTAAGATGTTTTGTTCGCTAACTAAGTTCTTTCACGCTATCGGTGGCCTGCCACGTAACACAATCGTCCTGTTTTTAGTTGGTTGTTTGGTTAGTTGGTTGGTTCAGTTCCAATTGTATAGCTGATCTATCGCCCGACGCCCACAGTTTCACGTGCCTCACGACCCGGAGAAGACCCTCCAGCTGAGAGCCGGCATCCACACCGGCCCCGTGGCAGCCGGCGTGGTCGGACTCAAAATGCCCAGGTGGGGACGCGCTGCAGCTCAGCTTCGGAAGCCTTGTAAATATTAATCTTTTAAAAGTGGTTGGTTAGCTTTCCTCGTAAACTATTCATTTTTGGAATCTATGAACCGTAATGACCTTTTCGCATTTACGGACGAAAACAAATATTGAGATTTTATGACGGAGGATTACTTGAAAAGCTTCCGTTAAAAGTTTGGATCGGTTGTTGCTTGATAGCACGAATACACGATCTAATAGCAATCTCAAGCGAACGAAATCCTTAGCAATGTCAGTGATACGAGATCTGCTAAAAACCATGTGAAACTTTGATCGGCAGTCAGGAGACATTTTCGAATGGACGTTACTTAAAATGTCAAGCTATTGAACAAGTTTCCCAGCAGCAGGTAACCTTTTCCTGGGATACATATGGCCTTAGCTTGTTTTAGTTGGGCAGTTCTTTTCAGGGTATATTGGTTCTTTTCAATTATCCAAGTGGCCACCGCAGATGATCTGTTCTTGCTTGGGTCACGTGGTCTGTCCTCGACAGGTACTGCCTGTTTGGGGACACGGTGAACACGGCGTCACGGATGGAGACCACCGGCCACGCCATGAACATCCACATATCGTCCGGCACCCGCGACCTGCTCAACTCGTTCGGAGGGTTCCAAGCTGTGCCCCGCGGAGGCGTGGTCATGAAGGTCAGTGACCTGCACAGCGCGATACAGAGGGGATCAAAAGCTGGTATATTCGGGGCACGGCGTCGTTTGGCATTTGGAGTCGGATGGATAGAGCAAGGTATAAATCCTGAGACGGACACAAGAGCTAGATATGTGACTGCTGTGATTCTAGGGATTATGAATTTTGTGGCATTTCTTACGTTCAGGAGTAACACCTACCGCGTGTAATGACGGTGCAGCGATGGACGGGATCTTCCTAAACCTAAAAAAGGACGTTTAACAGCTATCTCTGACAAAATTACAACGGCCTTCTTTTTCCAGGGGAAGGGCGTCGTGAAGACGTTCTGGCTGCTGGGCTACAACCAGGACGTCAACACCAGGGACGTGATCGAAGACCTCGGGCCAGTGGAGAGCGAGTGATTCACCTCGGGCCGGTGGAGAGAGAGTGATTCAGTCGAGAGCTGACTTCTCTGAGTCGTACGCTGAAGAAAGAGATATCGTGGATCTGCTGAGATACAACGGCGATCGGAGGCAGCTCTGTTGGGGCGACCCAGTCCAATCCATTTGCCATCTGAGTGCTGACGTGAGCGGCGGAAACCGTTTTCTGTTTCTGTTTTCAGTCGGCGCGGCAGCCAAGGTGCTTGAACTCGTCGTTAGTTCCAGATATGGACAAAAGCCACGCAATTGTTATCAATTGTATGATCTCTGTTGTCACGCGACAACACTGGTAAATGTCATAAATGGTGCTGTTATAAGGAGAAGTAATTTCTCGACTGTTTCCATGTTTCTTGGGTAGTCGACGTCATCGATGTGCTAAGATCGTTGTTAATGTAAGAGCGGACCTGTCGCCGGTTGCTATACGTCTCGGCGAGCACGCAGTGCGCACCCACGCGCCCAGGCTTTCTCCCAGATCGACAGAGTCTGTGTTGTTTGCATGCTTTCCGAACCGTAAAGGCAAATTTTGCCAAACTGTGTCCGGAAGATGTCGTGACTTAGGTGTCCTTGCGTCTTTTGACGTTTGACTCCTTACAAGCTGTGAATTCCTATGATCCATTGACAGTGACTAGGCATTCGAGCTTTTCGCATGCCTTACATGTTAGTATAGGTGTTTGAATAGAATACAATTGGTAAGAAGTGGTGCTCACCGTGGTGTTATCGATCCAGTTTCGACATCAGTAAAGTTGTTACATGCCTGGGTAAACGTCCCCCTTTCCAGATTTTATCCTTCATAGGAAAACGAAGCATCTCTGACCATGAGATCTTTGTTTACCGATAAGAACTTAAAAACGAGGTGGTTGATGGAAAAAATATATTGATAGAAATGACGAGAAAACAGATCACTAATGCGATAGAAATGTAACAAAAGCATATAAGAATAACAGTGCCTGAGCAGTTTCCATATCAACGAATCACTATAGGCATGAGTCGTAACGTCATCCGGTTTTATTTCCTCTTACTTGTGCTGAAAGTGACGATTAGTTACTCAAATTATTACAATGAAACAAAATGCGTGTAACATGTTCATAATTAACTAATAACTATGTAGTTTGCGTAGTAGTACGCACATAAACACCACGAGACAAATAGAACAAAAACAGCCTCTCGAGCCTCTCGCCTCTCGTTGGTCCTTCAAATCCGAGGTAGAAATCGACAGGACAGACTAGACTCTCACCGCGGGCTGCCTCAAGCGGCAGACCTTTCTCAGACGGCAGTTCTGCCTCAGACGGTGATCCTGCCTCAGACTGCAGTCCTCCCTCACACGGTGATCCTGCCTCAGACTGCAGTCCTCCCTCAGGAGGCAGTCCTGTCTCAGACTGCAGCCCTCCCTCAGGCGGCAGTCCTGTCTCAGATCCTCCCTCAGACTGCAGTTCTATCTCAGACTGCAGTCCTGCCTCAGACGGTGGCTGGGGGCTGTCCTTCCTCTTACCACGGACTGCCTCAGACAGCAGTCCTGTCTCCCGCTGCTGGCTTCCTTACACGGTAGCTGACGGGCCGTCGCCCTCCCCACTGGTCGCCGGGCCGCCGCAGTCCCGTCCTGCCCCAGTCGGCGTCAGTCGCAGCTCAGACATCAGCTGACGCGAGAACAGCTGGCCCTCGGCAGTGACATAGCGCCGGCTGGTGCGCCACTGTTCGCCGCGAGCCGCGCACTGCGTGCACGGTCCGTGCTGGCGGGTGCGCCGCGTGCAGAACTTGCAGAGCTGCCGACCGAGGGGACAAAACAGGGCGGGTGGGGTGAACTGACTGTCGATGTGAGTCAGACGAAGCTAGAGACTAAACAGAGTAGGGGAGAGTGGGGCACATTCGTGCATGGGGCACATTCGTTTTCAGCAGTTTATGGGAACACGAGTGACTGCACGAGCTCAAGGTAAATTATGGAACTATGTCTATCATTGCCGCCCTTCGTTCACCGTAGAAGACAACACTGTACCTGCTGTCATGCTTGATAAAAACGCAAATTTGTAATATTCGTGAGCTTTCCAAACTTTTCTCATATCATCCATTTTCGTGATCCTGACTCGGAAATGTGGTTCAGCTTTTCAAAATTGGGGGTGAAGAAGCCCACTCTATTCACGGAACTACTGCAAACTTGTTTTTTGAAAAAGTGTCATTTTTTCAAAAAGAAATTTTGAAATATATTACTAATAACGTTGTGGGGCAGGTTCGTGTACGCACTGCCTGGGGGCACATTCGTGCATATTTTTTTTAGTTTTTGCGATTTATGACTTTATCTGTAGTAGGTTTCTCTAATGACGCTCGCCTGACTCAGTCTCGACTGCTTGCGACGTCGTGACGAGCAATTCACGCGAACTTGGCGAGGTCACGGAGGCCGGCAGTTGGCACATTCTTGTTGGCCAGCCCATTCTTTCTACATTTGTTGTGCAATGCATTCTTGTCGAAAGGAATCAAGTGAAATGACCCCCTGCCAATTTCCTTTGGTAAATTTCTGGTAATGCCCGGTAATTTCTCGAATTTTGCCGGGTGAACGGAAGTGCCCCATCTCTTGAACGAATGTGCCCCATAGGTGGGGCAGTTTCGTGCAAATGTTCAGAGTTAATAAAAGTCATTTTTACTAATGGAAGCAATAATTTTATAGGATAACTTTTAAAGAGGAAAACTATCTGCAATAGTTCCTTTCCATACTACAATCAACAATTTTGCCATTGCACTAACCAAAGAACAGATATATGGGTTTATCCATTTTTTGCACGAATGTGCCCCACTCTCCCCTACCTATTGTGTAGGTCTCTGACGGTACTTAGAGACTAGTGGTACGGGGCCTTTTGGTAACGATAAGTATGAAGCTGTTTTTGATAAATCCGGTAAATAACAAAATCGTTAAGGAAGGAAATGCATTGAGATTAGATGTAAAATCGGAAGCGCTGCTAGCACAGGCGAGGTAGGTAATGTGTTTCCCAGCGGCTGATTGACGCGCTGCGGTCTGCCGTGCGGCCTCACCAGGCAGTGCTGGAAGTTGACCTCGGAGCAGCCGATGCAGACCAGGCAGTGGTTGCGGCTGTCGCGCAGTTTGCGCTGACACCAGGAGAACACCACCGGTTTGGAGCAGTGCGGGCACGGCCGCTGCATGGGCACCACGCTGCGAATCTCCACCAACAGATGGCAGTGCGGACAGGGCTGCGAGTCCGACAGCAGGCGACGAATCTCCTTCGGCTGGCGACAGGCCGAAAAAAGACAACCGTGAATGAAAAAACAACGAAGAACAAAGTCAGCAAAAAACAATTCGGTGACATTTCGGATCGGCTTATTCAGGAAGTGGGCACGGTTACACTTAAATTCAAAATAGGTACTAGAACTTCGCTTAAAATATATCCAAACGTTGATCGTAAAACGTCAACTGTTGAGTCAGATAGCACGCCAAGCAAGGCTCGTTGCCAATGGTACTATGCAGTAGTGGACCTGACACTGACCGCTCAGTTTTACCCGGTTTCAATTCCAATCGAAGCCTCCTTTTGATCCATCGTTACCATTCCACCGACTCTACCTTGTTGACGGCGAACACGTTCTGCACGAGGCACGTGTCCTCGCGGGCCGTCTCCACGTCGATGCCCTCCTCCAGCACGGCGTTGAAGGTGTTGGAGCAGCCCGGGCCGCAGCGGCACGCGGTGCTGCCATAGCCGCAGGGCAGAGAGGCACGCGAGCACGGACAGTCCAGCGAGCTGCGCCGGCGCACAACGTGACGTCATACTTACAATCGTGACGTCACTCACACATACCGACACACACTGGGGGGATAAAGCAAATAAAATATAGCTAAATGACCTTATAGGTAATTACAGAAAATGTTGGGTGAGAGGCTCATTTCCGCGCAATTGGTTCGCTTCGGAAAGTCATCCAACACCACTTTCGGGTGTAGTACGTTTTATACCCGGTGTTTTTATATCATCGTACACATCCAAAGCGTAGGTAGGTATTATTTTTCTGAGGCTCTACAGTGCACCTGCAGTGCACTGCAGTGACGTCCTGTTTTAATGAGCAGTCAGTGTGACGGTCAGGGGGCTACCAAGGCCACTAACCGGCAGGAGAAGCGGCAGTTACAGCTCTGGGGCTGACCGGACTGCAGCCACGTCTGACAGCCCTCCTGGCTCACTCCTGCACCGCCGGCCGCGCCCACAGCTGCCAGAGGAGGGTGGGGTCTGGTCAATGACGGTGGGGGTTCGGCCTTCGGGCCAGTCACGGTGGGGTCGGGTCAGCATTGTCAGCCATAGTGGGGTAAGGTCAGCTATATTGTGGGCGGCTATTTGTAGTGGAATCAGATCAATTAGGTATATACAGTGGGAGCACAGGGCTGGCACACTGGAATTGGATGTCAGGGATAGTCATTTTGGTTAGGGGACAATTTCTTTGGCAGTTTCGGAAAATCTAAATAAATATTAATCGGGATTAACTGCCACCATTGATAATTGTATTACATAGCCTCATTGGCAACTATCGGGTATGTAGGCCCGGTCCCGTGACATCACTGAAAGAAATACCCCGCGTCCTAGCGCCGCCACACGACTAACCTGCACCCGTGACGTCACTGGTGGACGCCGGTCTCCAGCTGGTGACGTCACTGGCGGACACCAGTCTCCAGCGGGGCACGTAGCCGTCGAGTCGCGGCGGACAGCAGAGCATATCGTGGAAGCGGCGGCTGACCCTGCCCAGCGTGCGGCAGGCGGCCTCACACGCTGCCTGACTCAGCTGCAGCTGAACGGCCCACAACCCGTCACAGGGCAGCGGGCAACACATTCAACGTCCTTCTTGAACGTACCGTGAGTGCTAGTGAAAAAATCGCCGTTGGACAGCACCAAACCATGGCTCGCCCACGGAAGATAAGAATAATCAACCGATAACTGTGTGATATCCCCAACTTTCTTTACAGTCTGTGACTGTAGTTCTGTTCACCATTCTGACCACCTAGTCAGCTCCCTCCGCTACGGCCTACAGGACATACCAGATGCAGCGGCGAGTCCCTTATGTCTCCACTGACGAAGGCTCGCAGCCGGGGGTCAGTGTTGGTGATCTCTGGCTCGGTCGGGTCACCGGTGCCGGCCTCGCAGGGTCGACCGCGCTGTGAGACGGGCTCCGACGAGGGCCGACCGACGAGCACGGTCGGTATCTGGCACACCACGATCCTCAGCTGCCCCGAGCGGGGAGGGGGGGGGGGGGGCAGCGTCACACTTATGCACAAGTAAATACGATCCCCAGCTGTTCCGTGTGGGGAGGGTCGGTGTCACATACACACAAGCATAGACCACTTGTGTATATAGTGGTCTATGACACAAGCTACCACAGACTGATGGACACACAAATGCACATACGATATCCACGGGGTGGTCATATTCTCGCCTATTATACACTGGGAGGATCGGTAGCAGGTGAAAATATTTTGGAACTATTTCATACCTCTTCTGTGGATGATTGTAACGCAATGACGCTGGAGAACTTGACCTCTATGTGAACCAGCTGTCTTTGCTCGCATTCCTCAGATGCCGGTGGATAGTCGAACTCGTACACAATCTTTCTGTAAAATAGGATAACTATAAATATTTTGTTCCAAGGATAAGTTTTTTGAAAATGTGAGCGATGTCTTATGACGTTAGATTTATGTGTTTGTCCCCAGCCTTTTCCCCGGCAACAGGAG